TTCTATAATTTCTTTGATAAACCAAAAGTTGATGAGATCACAGAATCAGGATACTTAGACATGAGATCTGTTTTTACCTTACAAAAGAAGTTTAGCTTTCGTAGAAGTAAAATGCACAGATCTCAAGTGCACAAATTTTAATGAGTTTTCAGTATCATAAAATCTGTGTAATTCATACCTCTTTAGAGGATACATTTATTAAATGTAATATTTCTGCCTTATAATGATTTTATTTTTCAAGTCCCTAAACAGTTACGTACTGGAGATGCAGTGTGTTTGCAAGGGTTCATGAGTGTCCTCATGCCTTTTCCTTTATTTAATGGTAATTCTAAAAATAATATTACTATTATTAATAATAATACTAACTAAGATAGGTTGAGTCCCTCCCATGTCACAGGCAACATTGCAAGAGTTTTACTTGCCTTAATCCATTCATATTTATCTCAGCCTTTTGAAGCAGCTGTTACTGCTTATGTTTTATAGACAGAAAAACCAAGTGAATACATAAACACACACACACACACACACACACACACACACACACAGCTTTTGCTAGGATATTTCATATTGGTTGAATTTAATATTATGGCCCATTTTCCCTTTGCTCAGATACAAGTGAGGAAACATTTCTTTCTTTTCATTCCACAATCTTTACACAAAAGGCATGTATTTAATTTTACCTTTACCGGCCTCCTTGAGTCTTAGTATATACCTTTTAATATGGTGCAGCTTCTTTTCTTTTCTTTTTTTATTATTAAGAAATTTATGTTCATTTTACATCCAAACCACAGATGCCCCTCTCCTTCCCCCTCCTGCCCCCCAGCCTTCCCTCCCAACCCACCACCCCATTCCCACCTCCTCCATGGCAAGGCCTCCCATGGGGAATCACCTGAGCCTGGTACATTCAGCTGAGGCAGGTCCAAGCCCCTCCCCCTGAACCAAGGCTGTATAACATGTCTCACCATGGGCACTGGGCTCTAAAAAACCCGCTTATGCTATGGTGCAGTTTCTAAGAAGACTTTTAATTTTGCCTGTGAGTGTATTCTCTTGATGTATATTAATTTTTATCTTCAGCCACACAAAGGCCAGTCATTTTTTCAGTCATATCTGGATCTAAATCAGCATAAATTTTGATTTCTAGTCCCTGGATTTATGAGTTTATAAAGAAAATGTGCATAATGGCTGTTCACTTACAGTGCTTTTGTAGTTATCTACAATGTTAAAAGTTTGAAAAGTGCCTCAAACTTCTGGAAGCTCTATCAGCACTCTCAAACTAGTTTCTAGAATGCTCTGGCAGCTTTAAGTACAGCCTCATAAAATAGATTAAAAAAATTTCTCTCGTTATGCAGTTTTCTATTAAAGAGAATACATGCCTACAGATAAAAATGCCTAATAGCAACTAAGCTAGATTCCCCAGGGGAAATAATAGCCTTCTGGTTGAAAAAAAAAAAACAAAAACAACAAACTAACCCATCTAGACTTTTCTCCTTATACAATTGTTGCCAACTCCCCTAAATTTTATCTAGGAAAATACTGCATATTTCTAAGTAAAAGTCCCATGATATCTTGTAGAATATCACTTATGTGGCAAGAAAGAAGGGAATGGGAGGTATACAAGGGTGTTTGATGGTTTTTTGTGTCTTAAAAGATTTTTCCCTACAGCAATACCTGACAAAGCAAAATGCTACTAGGCATGGTATTTGTTGTGTGCTTAAAGTCTCTGCACTCAAGAGGTTGAGGCAAGAGTATTGTAAGAGCAAGGCCCACAGAGGAAATATAGCTGAGATTTTGTCTCAATTTTTTCTCAAAGAAAAATAAGGAAGAATTAAAAATAAACAGGGAAATAATAATACTAAAAGATTTCTGAACTTCTTAGGAAAACAGCCAGATGAATCTGTTTGTACAGATTGTTAATGTTACCTGCTGGATCAGTCAGCCAGAGATGCTGCAGCAGTGTGCTTTCTTCGTTCCCTAAGACACAAAACAATATTTGCAGATAAGTAGGATCGTATTGGATGCTGACTCTCTTAAACAAACCCAGGCTACCGACTGTGCTTACATGGTGGTTAGTTGGCATGCGTATTGTCATCTTTCCACTTGACCAGCTTTGTTTGCATCAGGAGGATTAGAGTACACACATGAGACAGTTATTCCACATGGACCAGAGGATAAGAGGCTGCTTTCCAGGTAGAAATTTAGCTAAGTTACACACAGAATTAGAAACTTGAAATAGATACGGTTAGAGTGTCTTATAACTAGACAAGAATATACAGCAACTAAGTTTTATCACTGAAATGGTTGAGTTGAACCCCTCTCAGTGCTGTGGTCTTGCAGCGCAAATCAAACAGGCTGTGAACGGAGGATGATTTGAATAATGCTTGAAGTGTAATAGGATGTGATTTCACTTTCTCTCATAACTGAGGTTAAAATTAAATTCTTCATAATCTCACTTGCTTGGCTCCTATTAGGAAATGACTTATCTTAGGCATTTTAATATTTAATATTAAGTTATTTCAGATTTTGTTGCAATAATAATTATACTTAAAAAATTCTCATCTTGCTTGAGCCTCATAACACTTTTCCAGGTAGATAGGGCAGGAAAGACGTTATCAATAAAAAGAAAGTGCACAGAGAGGCAAGATGCCTGAGGCCATGTTTTCATTTGATGATAGGCAAGAGCAGTACTCCTCCCTTCTTTAGATCATTTATTCTAAGGTGTTTCTGCTGGGAAAGTTGAGCTGATTCAGTAGGTATTGTTGTTATGTACACTTTCCCATAGGGTTTTTTCCCCCACAATTAATTGAAGGGGTGATTTCTATCTTGAGTTAAAGAGAAAAATTTATCGACTCAGTTGTTTCCTATCACAGGGTTAGAAATACACACACAGGGATAAGAATGCAAGCAAGAGAGCTGTGCCCTGCTTACAAGGACTGGAGGCTGAGTTCTCATATTTAGCTGTCATTTTTATATAAAAGTAAAATAGAAAGGAAATGTACTAGATAATTAATATTCCAACCTTTTCAAGAAAAACAAACTCAAAATGGTATGCACTTTTTTTGCTTTGCACATACGATCCATCTCTGTCCTTTTGCAAATATTTATCCATATATATCTGAATAAATACGAATTTTATGTTGTTATTGAAATTAGAGTCTTAGCTGGGTGATGGTGGTGCATACCTTTCATCCTAGTACTCGGAGGCAGAGGTAGGTGGAGCTCTGTGAGTTTGAGGCCAGCCTGGTCTACAAAGAGATTTCCAGCACAGCCAGTGCTGTTACATAGAGAAGCTCTGTCTCAAAAATCACAAACAAAATAAACAAACAAGAAAAAAAAAAAGAAAAAAAACCAAAACCCAACAACAAAGGTGAAGAAAGAAAGAAAGAAAGAAAGAAAGAAATTATAGTCTTTGCTCCACTTATTTTTAACTCTTACTTTGTGGCTTTTGAATTTGAATTTTACTAGTTTCCATTGGTGTCATAGGCAGCATTTCTATTGTCTTAGTCTACTAAATCTGTTACATAAATTTAAAGAGCTCTTTACCTTAGAAAATTGTATTCTGTGTTACTCTTTTGAAACATAATTATGAAGTATATCAATTATCTTTGTATTTAATATTGTCATCTAAAATATCTCTGCCATAACAGTGTATTTATCTTACATCTAACAATTTATACTTTACTTGGTATTTATTCATTTATTTTCTGGTACTGGAAATTGAACCTAGGTCCTTGCCCATGCTCACCAAGCACTCTCTACTTGATTGCCAGTGTTTTTCCTTTTATTGAAAACAGATTTTTTTCCTACCTAATATATCCTGATTATGATTTCTCCTCCCTCTACTCCTCCCAGTTCCTCACCATCCCCACTACCATTCACATCTATATTTGATGCTATTTTAAATATAGCAAATGATATCAGATTATTTTTGATCTGATGTGTTTGTTATACAGAAACTAGTTATATAGTTACTTCTCAATGCAATATACATAAATATGTATAAGACATTAATTTCTATTTCTTTGGATGTCTCTCAAGAATTTTGTAGCTTTTTGTTTTGTCTTTTTCAAGGCATAATCTTTTTGCTTATTTTTCATCAGTATGTTGTTTCTCATTGATAAATAGTTCAAATGCACATTATCTATGCCAAGATATACTTCTCCACTGTATTTTTCTATGTAGACCACACACCAGATAGTTTAAAGACTAACAAGTGTTGATTTATTTCATGAATTGCTGATAAACTGATCATCTAAGAGCCTTTTTCAAAAATCTTTTTTTTTTTTTTTTTTTTTTGTTTCATGCATGGTTTCTCTGTGTAGCCCTGACTGTCCTGAAACTCACTTTGTAGACCACGCTGGCTTTAAATTCAGAGATCCGCCTGTCTCTGCCTCTCAATTGCTGGGGTTAAAGGTGTGTGTTCCTGCCCCTATTCCCAGCATCCTTTGTAAACTTGATCACACTTAATCGTAGCAAATCTTTAGATGTGTCATTGTTAACATTATTCCACAGATTAGAAAATGACAGCAGAGAAGGTCTTCAAGTATTAGCAAGTGAATGGATTCAGAGTTGCCGTTTATCTAAGTATTGGCTGTTAGCCTCTGTGGAACATTGTTATTTCAGGATGATTTCTTTTTCAATGCAATATTGGGTTGCCAAAAGAACTCTATCAGAGTAAATTGGAAGCATGCTCCTTGACATCCTAGTGATATATAGGACAGCATGATAAGGTGTAAGGTAAAGTCAACACCATTTGAAGAAATCAAACAGTGTGTCAAAGTTCCAACCAGCAGCGCAGTGAAAGTTCAGGGACCATGTGTTAGCATCTGAGCTACCCTGCATGGTAAAGTCAGAGTGACTTTTAGTTTTGCATTTGAGGACCTGGATGTTAGCATATCTGGGAGCATGAACTGAGTCTTTTTTTTTTTTTGTTTATTCTAGCTGCTCTGTGCAAAAGCTCCCTATATCATAATGACAGTTCTTTCTTTTTTGTTCTAATACAGTGGGATGCATCCTGCTTTTGTCCTGGAGTTCACCTCTGTGGCTTAGAATTGTCTCAGGAACATTCGTCTTCAGTCTCTGTGTTAACTAGAAATCAATCATGAGGAGATTTGTCTACTGCAAGGTGGTTCTGGCTACGTCGCTGATGTGGGTCCTTGTTGACGTCTTCTTACTCCTGTACTTCAGCGAGTGTAACAAATGTGATGACAAGAAGGAGAGATCCCTGCTGCCTGCACTGAGGGGTGAGTGTTCATGAAGAAATAGGTGCAGGTGCATGACAAAACAGGAAATCCTTAAACTAGATGAGTTTTGCCTTACCACGTTAGAAGAACATTTTAGCAGAACTGTTCATGCACATTTAACTACGTGGAAGTTGTTATACTTATGTAGCCATAAGTATCTTTTAGGAAGAAATGACAGTAGCTATCCAAACTCTTTAAGATATCTTCCAATTTCTACCATTCCAGTGTCCTCTGATGGTATATGAAGAATTACTTGAGGAATGTTCTGATTAGACAGAATTTCGAGTCCAGGCTCTAAGAAGCCAATCATCTTTAAAGATCAAGCACATACCACAAGAAGGAAATACTAGAGTGAGACAGGTGGAGACTGTAGACAATTGGAGACAGAGTTGATATGACAACGATACAATTTCCACAGCAGCTTTAAAGCCAGTTGTTAAGTCAAAATACATTAGTGACCACATATATCTTGTGGGCCACCAGAGTGTTAGCTCCAGGTTAAAGGCAAAAATAATTTTAGGCATATTATAAAGTCACTTTATCTAGTATTTTCTTCTTTAAGGAGCAGTTTCAATGACTAGACAGCAGCAAATTCTAAACAAATATGATAATGTATATTAAATGGTGACTTATCAAGGAAGGCATGAGTTTAGGTGTCTGCAAATATTTTTTTTTTATTTTGTTCTTTGTGATATCAAGATCCAAAGTATGTGTATTTCTGAAATACTCATAATAAATGTGACTTATGAAGTTCAAAACGTGCTCAAGGGTGTTCCATGCCTTAAATTATAATGGATTCATGCTTAATAATAATATATATTATATATACATACAAAACAAGCATTTATCTTTGAGTTTAAGCTGAAATGCTTGAATCTATAAATTACTGTGTTAAAATCTTTCATTTCTTAATTGATGCAATATACTTTTAATATAGCAGTTTAAAGATTATTTTTTAGTCAAAATGTTCTGATAAATGGAATTTAATTTGTACTATTCAACTTGAGGAAGCTTAGAAAGCATAGAGTATTTCTGAAAATTAGTTTTAGTTCAGAGTGCTTTGGACATCTTGCTAAAATGATGTTGCTCAGTTGGAAACATTATGAGTATCCTCCTCTTCTCAAAATACATCTGCACCTTTCAGTATAGATTTGACTTCACACAGAGAATTGAGAGAGAGAGTGTGTGTGTACCATGTAAGTGATCACTATTTCCATTTAGATAGTTTGTGTGCATTTTAAGCCTTTATTCCACAATTATTCAGGGAAGAGGACCTTACAAGCCCCACTTTCAATGAATGAACATGGCATGGATTTCCTGATCTTTAATGAAAACTCTAGAATAAGCATTCTCCGCCTCTTTGCTGGAGTCGTTGAGCTGCTGCTTGTCTGTAAGAGGAAGTGTGTTTGAGGCATCATATCAGTGCAGAATGCCCACTTTATCATGTGTGCAGTGGAGACATCTAGTTTGCTCACCAAGAAATACTATAACCTGACTCAGCAAAACCAGAGTGGTCTTTTCTACAAGTACCAAAACGATGCAACTTTGCTGATTTATGTCTTTAGTTCAGAGTTTTAAATCTCCAAATGTGAAATATGATGCTGCAAGGCAAAATGCTTCTTCTGGGGCTTATTTTGTGAACATTGACTTATTTATAAGATGTTGTCCTGGTGCATTAGGGCTACTATGACAACACAGACAGGCTGGGCGTTGTCTACACAACAGAGTTATGTTTTTTATGGTTCCAGAAATTAGAAAGTCTAAGATCAAGGTGCTAGTTAGGTCTCCAGGAAACCAAGGACAAATGGCTAGCTGAGAAGCTAGGATTATGTCCTTCAGGCTCTCTCTATCTCCATTACCAGTTGCAGAGTCCTGGCTCTTCATCCATTTGTCTTGGGTTTCTTTGAGACCTAACAGTACTGAATGTGGTGTCTTGGAAGACACATTTCTTATAAAAGTCAGTCTTCCTACTAACCTCACTTGACTGGTGGTTGAAGCATACCTAGTAAAATTTTTCCTGGCCAGTGACCTTTGCTGACATGTCTCTGAAGTTTTAATATTGCATAAATTTAATTATAAGTAAAATTCTTAATATTAAGTAAATTTTGAGAAAGTATAGTTCAAAATTAGTAATGATATTGAGGTGCTATTACTTAAAAAAATCTGACTTGGGAAATGAGAAGAATGTGGGGGTTGTAAATATGGAGAGGGGTGATATTTATGTCATTCTCTATGTTGTGAATATGCGTTGCTCTGATTGGTTGATAAATAAAGCTGTTTGGCCAGTGGTGAGGCAGAATAGGGTTAGACGGGACATTCTAACTAGAGAGGGGAAGGAGAAAGACAGAGAACAGAGGAGATGCTGACAGCTGCCACCATGAGAAGCAAGATGTAAAAGTACAGGTAAGCCACAAGCCACGTGGCAAAATATAGATTTATAGAAATGGGTTAATTTAAGATATAAGAACTAGATAACAAAAAGCCTGCCATGGCCATAGTTTAAAAATATTAGCCTGTGTGTGTTTATTTGGGTCCAAGTGGCTGGGGGACAGGTAGATGACAGAGATTTGTCCTGACCCTGGGCCAGGCAGGACACAGAAAAACTTTAGCTACAGAGGGGTATGATAAATGCAGAAGTAGAAGTGGGTAAAATAACAGTAAGGATTTCTAAAAATGCCATAAAGATTAATGCTATTAAGGATCTATGTAAAAAAAAAATAGACAGAAAACAAACTGTAATACATGCAAACCTTTATATAGGTATGCATAGATAGTTTCATTGAAATTTTCTCATCTGGGCTGACAATGTTTCCTCCAAGAGCCAAAGATCATCTAACAACAACAACAACAACAACAAAACAACAGCAGGCATGAATCCCTCCAAGAGCCAAAGATCATCTAACAAAAGAACCAACAGCAGGCATGAATCGCCCGTTGTTGGTAAGGGTTGTCCAAGCGACTCCCAAAACATTACAGGCTATTGGTATTGCTCTTGATTGATTCTCAGAGGTGGAAGATGAGATCATATTGCTAAAGACACCATGCACTTCAGACACAGGATCCAGAGGCCCTTGATCTGGAACTGACCTGAAATCCTCCTACCTGAGGGCTAGCTTTTATGGTACCAGAAACCTCCAAAGGAAGAAAGCAACCAACATTTCTACCCAACTATTATACCTATGAACTACGGCAATGACCAGCTTGACATGATAACCCTATAACTACAGTAGGGGCATTCATACCTTTGTGGTAATTAATAACTCTCTAATTGAACTTAAGACCAATTCAACTAGAAGGAAATTATGCCTGGTACTGGAAACTTATTACCCAACTACCCAGGGCTAGTGACATCATGGATCTTGATAAAGAATCTACAGCAAGCGTAATCACAAATAAGTGCAGTTCTCACCCCTCATCAAAGAAACTTCTCTCTACAACCAATGGCGACCATAATGGAAAATCACAAGGAAACAAAATGCAGAGTTCTGGAAGCCAGTCCCAAAGGACACATCTACAAAAAAACTTCCCCATTTATAGCTCAGGGAAAATTGTGGAAGACAGAACAGAAAAATTGTAAGAGCCAGATGATCAGTGAGTTTGCTGTAATATTGTGTCTCCTACTAATGTCAGATGATAGATACATTCATGAACTCTCAGCAACATGACCGCCTAAACATAAACTGAACAAGGACAACAATAATAAATGAGATAAAATAGATAGGAGAAAGCTCAGGAGGCCTCAACCCTAGACGAAGAACTATAGGGAACTAAGGAATGCTGAGAGCAGAAAAATAGTCTTTCCCAGGGAAGAGCACACCAATTGGTTATCCAATACCAAGTAGTCAGCCATGAAAATGAAGATACAAGTAACATTATACAGACTGAGCAGAATGTATTTATATATTTAAGAATAAATATGTATACATATATACATAATTTTATGTAACAACTATTAATGAAAGAAGACGACATGATTTGAAGAGATCAAGAGTATATATGGGAGGGCTTGGAGGAAGGAAAGGGAAGGGGGAATTGATGTATTTATGTTAGAAGCTCAAAAAATAAAAGAAATAATTAAAAAAATAATTTGAACAAATGATACAATTCTTATATCCATAAGTTCTGGGCTATGCTCTGAGTCATGTACAAATTCAATCAAATGGACCATTGTCTTTAAGAATCACATCTTCTAGCCTACTAGTCTAGGTACATTACATAGCAGAAAGGAGTGACTGCTGAACAGACAAACTGTTTTCAGAATTAAAGGTCTCCAAGTGTGAAAGTTATCCAGTTGCATGAAATTTGAGAGTGAGGTGACTGCAGAAGGAATAAAATACTTTTCAGAAGTAAAGATCCATGAAATCAGTAAATTAACTGATCAAAACTCAATCAGATGTAAAAAGAATTAGTATATTTTACACTGAAAACTAGGATGAAGACAGATTTTAAAAGACTTTGAGTGACTGGGAAGGAATTTTAACATGTCCTAAGGGGCAGCAATGTTATTGAAACTTGTTAGAAAGTGTGTATTAATCATGCACAGACACTTAGAAGAATACAGTCAAATACACAGTGTAAGAGTAGTGGCAGTTTTATCTTTATTTACATAATTAGCAATTTAAATTTTATCTATTTATAAAACCACTCGAATTAGATGGTAACAGAATATTAACTCATTTAAATTATTCATACTGCAAACTCTTAAGAACAAGAATTATTTCCTTACTGTAAAATTTAATTTTGATATTTTAAAAACTAGGTTCTCAAGTCCTAATTCACCACAGTGTATGTATCATATATGAACATTTTTATTTATTGGTTTACCTAAGTAAACTACTAAAATGCAGTTACTCATTTTTCTTTTTTTTGTTTATTTAAAATATAATTACATCATTACCTCACTCCTATCTCTTCCATATCTACTTTCCACACTCCTTTCCAAATTCAAGGCCTCTTCTTTAACTATTGCTGTTACATATACATATAAGTGAGTAGGCATA